GTCTCAAAAACGCCAAGCGACGATTTATCTTTCCAAATATGTTGGTCACTACAGGACAGACGAAAGATGGTTGTGTATTTTTAGGAGTGTGCTAGTGGAGGTGGGGTAAGGTCAACCTAGGAATTCCTAATTGTCCAACTATGTAGGGAAATGAGAAGCTAAGTGACATGAAAATATAGGGATTTTAAGAAATTTAGCTTCTCGTCATAGATTTAGATAAATACAAAAAATAAATAAGAGTTGGCCCCGAAAATCGGGATTGTGTAAAACAGTAAGTAGAACACCAACTCTAAGGGGCGCCGAGATGCAAAGTGATGATATTAGTTTGTTACGTCAGCGTATTAGGAGGAGGCGGCAAGAACGATCTTAAACCTATATTAAAAATAAATTTACGGTTTGAATTAAACAGATTTATCAAAATATATGAATACTACTACTAGTAATATTTACAAATATTAGTCCGCCTTATCGATGCCTAGCCCAACTGCAAAACCTGCCTATTTTCTAGACGGCTTAACTTTACTTAGGAAAACTTTCAGTTTGACCTGTGGTGCTGATCAGACTGGGTAGACGTCGAGAATGCATTCAAGAGCTGATAAGAATGCTATTGGGGAAACAAGACTATTTACAAAAGCAAAATTATAGTAACTGAGACGAGATAAACAAATTATTAATCCCCTAAAAATAAGTAAGGATGGAGAATAAGCAAGGTTCAAATTGGGTAATGTTGAATGGTTAATGCCAAAACTTGGAATAAAGATGATTAGGCTACTAAGGCATAGAGATATAATTCTACAGAGCTCTTGAATAAAATTAAAGACAAAATTATCAATAGAAATAAAATGGATACTATTGATACAATAGAAAGACAAGGAATGAGTCAAGAATCCGATAGCGCATAGAAATATGAAGTGAGGTAAAAAGGACTAGAATTATGCGTACAGCTATTGAGGAAGAGATGAAAAAGCCTTTCAAAAGGATGCCAATTCAGTTTACAAGCTTCAGGACCAACATCCTCTAAGCGTCGAAGTCTCCTTTACTTTCGGCCCAAGAGTTGCCTTGGAGTTGGTAAATTTGTAGGCATTTAGTCTACTGAAAGTCGGCCAAAATACTGTGCTTCGTTCTGTCTGCCTAAAAACGATGAGTTAGTCCCATCAAATGAAAAAAGCGCCAATTTTGTGCCACAACTTTGAGCACAATCATGACAAATGTGATAGCAAGACAGGCAGAAGTCCATGAGAAATGAGCCTAGCACATTGTAGGAAAATTTGTGAAATAGAAGAGCCGAAATGTCTTACCTTCCACGTCGACGCGATACTCGAAAATGCTCCCTCCACTTTCTGGCAGGATTGGCAGGTCCATCTTTCCCTCTAACTCAGTTCGCCAGAACACCTCCAATTTTGCTCTGTCAACCAGTTCAAGAAGTGCGCCCAGAGACCACATGAGCGCAAATACATAACATCTCTGCACCAATTTCTCGTTGTTCTAAAGTGTTAAGATAAACAGTGAGAATTAGGCCCGTGTATTCAGTGATGCAAGTAAGTAAAGTGTACGAGGAGGGTGACATTCAGTTAAAAACAAGAAGAAGTAGCACATTTAGTTCCCTGCTATCAGGAGCCTGATCGTCAAGAAGGTGCATCAGATTACATTTTTTATTGCACCAATAAAGGTTATCACAAAAAGAAGGGTTGATATATTCTATTTTTCGTATGTAAGTAGAGTTTCGAGACTACTAGTAAATCAATAATACAAGATGTATTCACGCTATTTCGTTTAAAGTAGTAGAATTTTCCCACAATGATATGAGTAGAGCTGACTTTTCCATTCCATTTTACAAAGCCTTGCTTTCCCCAAAGTTGTTCTCATCCCGGCTGGAGTGGACTGCAGTTTCGAATTCGTCTCGTTCGAGTCTTATTCACACCTCCAGCGGGAGTCGAACCGTGACAGTGCAGAATGTAAGCTTTACACGGTAATAATTCGGGCATATTGCAATACGTGCCTTTGGATCACAGGGCAGGTGTGAATTTTATGGAAGGGCAGGCCTTATCACATATCAAATTCTTTGGTGGGATTGTCGATGAAGTCATCTTATTTTTGCTATAAAAATAGACTAAGTTACTTAATTTTCGTATTTAATTAGAATTTCGAGACTACCATTAAATCATTAATGAGAAAGTCTACTTAAATACGAAAAATAAGTAACGTAGTTGGTTGTTGTAGCAAAAATACGTTTGTTTCATCTACAATCCAACAAAAAATGTAATATAGGAAAAGGCCTGGCTTTCCTTGAAATTCACATCGGTCATGTGTCTACCAAAAGCACTCGTGGCAATGTGGCCGAGTGGTTAACGTGTCAAGCTCACATTCTGCATTGTCACGGTTCGACCCCCGCTGGGGGTGTTTATAAGACCGATTCGAGGTTGAAACTGCAGTCCACTGGTGCTTGAATGAGAACACCTTTTGGGAAAGCAAAGCTATGTAAAGTTCAATGGAAACTTCAGCTCTACTCATGTCATTGTGGGAAAATTCTACTACCAGTATTTTATCACCTTAAACGAAATAGGGTGAATACATCTCATATTACTGATATATTTTACTAACACTTTCATGGTCATAATCTCTCTGAGAGGGTTGCTGTGATGATGAGGTAGGGATGAAATTGTATTCCAGTCTGGTGGTGTGAATGACCATTATATACGCATGGAAAAGCGAGTATACAAGTAGAATCCAAATATACTCTTCAATACATTGTGGATAGATCATCGTTTAATCATATAAATGAGGAATTAGTCAAAATCGGCCCACTCCGCTTAACAATAATGAAGGAATCAAGAATGGGAAGGGTTCGATTACCTTCAATTGAGGAGTCTATTGTTGTTAAAACTAGATCTGAGATTTAAGATGACATGAAATTTGTCAAATCAACTGAAATAAAAATTGAAATTATTTCTCGGAAGTTTCATCAAAATCCTCATTCACACCATCAAGATAGTATATTAAAA